ATCCTCTGTAATTTTTCAACAGAAAGGAAAAATCAAACTTCTTGGGTTTGAATGTATTGCTTGCGTAATAGGAAGAAAGCAAGGAGGAATTTACTGGAATAATCCGGAAGTTGCAGTTTTGTTGGGCTCTGTCCCCAGAAGCACAGAATTCCTGTGTGTCAGCCCTGAAATGTCATATAAACAGTGCTTCGTAACTCCTGTAAATGGTTTCCGGACTTTGTTAAAGGAAGTGGGCTGTCTACTTAAAGCTCTTGTCTGGGTCATGGTGACTAAACCTTACTGCAGCATGCCTTTTTAAAGGTTTGGGTTTGGTTTAAATCGGAAATATTCCCATAAGCCTCAACAAATAACAAGGGCATAGAACATAATATATGTCCTTTGATCCATGGAAGGGCAGAGATGTCTCACCAGTAGGTGTAGCCCAGTTCAGCAGTATGCTAATCCACTAATGCTGACAGGAGTTAGGGGACTAATTCTGTCGTGTATTACTGTAAATGTTAGTCATAAACACTCATAGAAAATACTGGGGAAAAAAGTACTGGGAATTATGAGAATTTGAATCACATTCAGCTATAAATGTCCTGGCTTCAAACTCCAGAGATCCCCTGGGTCATATTCTCCTTGTCTTGCACCCATGGTAACCCCTTGGATCTCTTGGTCCAGTTCAGGACTCATTAGCTAATTGCTAAAGGGAAAACCAAAACCTGTATTAAGGCATCTATTCATGTTAGGTACCACACATGTATATTCTGCATCCACTCCTGAGACACATAGATCATAGAATCATAGAATCATAGAATCATAGAATCATTAAGGTTGGAAAAGACCTCAAGGATCATCAAGTCCCACAGATGTCTGTATAACTGTTCACCATGTCATGTGGTGTTGTTTGCCTAAACTTAATTGAGCATACTCACACAGAATGCAATTATTCTGATGTACTAAGCTACTCTACATGTGATTAAAAAATAACAATGTATCCTGGGAACACTTAACAAAACTGACAGAATGTAGATAAAAACTGCCTTATTAAAATGCAAAAATCAGCATTTATCTTTCCTGTTATCCCTATAGGCGCCATTACATGCAATAATGAAAAGATGTCCCTTGAAATGGCATTACTTTTTAATGAGGCTTTTACCCATTGAGTCATAATCTCCATGTTACTAATTACAAGCAAAAATGGCTTCCTAAACCCCGTAACTGCTGAGTGCAAGCGACTTCTAAAGCTGAGCATTCCCAGTCAGTACTCAGACTTGGGCAATTCAGCAAGTGTCAGGCTACAGCTAAGGATGTGGGTTGACTCTACAAGCCAAGAATGTGAAGATACAGCAAGGACATTTGCTCATCACAGTGTCAGCTCCTGGGCTTGTTTACAATCATCTGGTTAACAAAAAACAACTAGACACCCCTTGTGATTACTTGCTGATTATTATTTGTCCCCATGGTCACTGCTGTGCTTTTCTTTTACTCTGGCACTTGTCTTCATACAGAGCATGAAGAGACACACTAACTGCTGGTGCTGGGTGCCAGCTCTGACTCACTTGCCCTATCCTATACTCAGTGGTACTCAGAAAACCCCACGGTGAAGGGACTGAACTCTTGTGTTTCAGTGAAAGCCTGGCTTTTCACTTCCTGTGTCTAATTACTCATATCCTCCTGAGCTTTTGACCAAGAAACCACTCTTAGTTAAAGCAATTTGGCAAATGTGATCCATTATCAAGGCTGCTGCTGCTTCTACTAGTATTCAGGGGTTTGCTATACATCTAACATGAGAACTGCTTTGTTCTGCAACAGGGAGAAACATCTATTTCTGCAAACTGTCACTCAAGGAGCTGCTTAAAACTTGACAGCTCTGAGATTATTTTTATGATAAAATACTAAATCATTGCCAAGACAAATGTGAATGGTTCAGGCTGTCAGTCTGAAGTCACATAACATGCACTGAAATATGGGGTTCATGCGTCCAAAGTGGAGCTAACAAAGCATTATAAAAGTTAGAAAATTAAGTAATCTTAAGCAAGGAAATTCCAAGATGAATTGGCCCCCACCAGCTCCAAGCCTCCCTTTCCTTTTCTAAATTCAGTTTATCTTTTTTTGTCCTTATGCCCCAGGTCATTCAATCTCTGCATTTTATGCTGGTGGCTTTCTCTCAGGATGTGCCTGAACATCAAAAGAGAGAGACAAGGAGAGAAAGATGACTGTTCTTTGGTTTAGTGCCAAAAATGAAACTGTGAGGACTTTCCCAGGTCCATGAAGGAACACCCTATGGTGACTTTAAACTGAGAAGCTGTAGCAAGTCTTTCCTGATCATCTGTGTGCTACAGTTTTTCAGAGCTTGGCCATTTTGAGACAGATTTTCATAGCCACCTCTATTATTTACAAAGGCACTACATCAAAACCTACAGACACTAGAACTTCATAGAGAAAAGCTTGCCAATGATTTTTAAATGGGTAAACCCATTTATTTTCCCCCAGCCTTTTTCTTGGAAATTGCTTAACTGTTTGGCTAAAATGTTCCATAGAGCAAAATGCAGCCTGAGTCAGATACCATGTAAACTATCATCACTAATGATTGAAGTTTGGCAAGACTGTAAATAGCAAAGTTCAGGTCTCAGTATTAGTCAATCTTAATTATAGGTGGGGCTATCAAACCATCCTGCATGATAAGTTGCCATAACTTCCATTTCACAGCTCAAAAGCCTCTGATCTTTGTGGGAGGCAGGTTGGCAGTAGAGACCTTTACAGATGAATGCAGCACACAGAGGTTCCCCAAGGTCATACAGTAGCTGCTGGTGGAGCTGGGATGGCATTCAGGAGGGATGACCTCAGATCTCTGTAACCACAGGCTGTCCTTGATTTTGCTTAGCTCAGTAATGCTTCCTCTCTCAGTCACATCACTCTCCCATACTTTTCTTCACTGTTGTCTCTCTCTGA